AGAAAACAATATAAAGCATCAATGTAAGGAGGAGTTGGTCCTTTGAGAAAATCAACAAGATAGACAAACCTTTATCCAAACTGACCAAAAGGCAAAGAGAGACCATGCAAATTAACAAAATCAGGAATGAAAAGGGTCATTATTTTTTTCAAAACTGAGGTTTTCAGAATTTTCGAAAATTAATTTGTATGACAAATATTAATTAAAAAAAACAAATCTTGGACCCCAGAATGATGGTTGGGAGGCCAGCATGGAACTGATACAGACTCCCTATATGTGGGTGTCAGTGAGGAGGCCTGGGCAATCTATGGAGCCTTGGGGGGTAGATCAATATTTATTCCTGGCATACAAATGGACTTTTGTTGCCCATCCCACAATGGTGATGTTCTCTCAGCCTGAACTATTGGAGGAGGGCCTAGGCCCTGCGCTGAAGGGAATGACAGACTCAGGAAATCCCCTTTGGAGGGCCTCATCCTCCCTGCAGAAAGGAGTGGGGATTGGGTGTGAGCCTGGTAAGGGATATAGGAGGAAGGGAGGGAGAGGGAGCTGGGACTGACATGTGAAGCAAGCTTGTTTCTAATTTAAATTAAAAAATTTAAATGTTCAAATGTAGATGACTGGTTATAAGAACAGATTATAATGATTTAAGAGTTTAAAAGGTTTAATTTATTTATTTTACTTTTCCCTGTTTTATTTTTTATTCTTTTTATTTCATTGCACTCTAACCACTATTTAATACTCAGTTCTACTTTTATACACAGGGATAATTTTAGTTAATCACTAACTTACATAAAAATTTTACCTATTCTGTAAATTGCTATTATGCAGATAATTTACTTCCTATGTCTTTTACCTCTTTTTATCAGAGGCCCTTTCTAAGTTTTTTTTTCCTTTATCCCTAAAAAACAAATGGCCTCTTGTTTTCTTGGTTCTTCACAATTTGTCTCCATTTATTATTTTCAAGTTCATAAGATAGAGGATAAAACTTAAATACAGTGGAGTCTTAAGTTCCCCCAGATTCCCGTAGTCCACAAGTAACAGGACTTGGATGTGGTCTCAGGTCATTCAATACCCATTCTTTCCTCTTTAACATATATTTTCTTCATCCATAGATTTTTAAAGATATATTTCAGGAGCCTGTGGGATGTCTCTGTGGTTAAGAGTGCTTGCTGCTCCTGCAGAGGAATAGAGTTCCTTTCTCAGATCTACATATTATGACTTAAAACCTCATGTAACTCCAGCTCAAAGGATATATGATTCTTTCTACTGGTATACACAGACACCTGCACACACAGATGCACACACATAAAGCACAGATTGATTAGAAATATATTCGATCAGTCCCACTGAAACTTTGGGTAGAAAAATTATTACTAACTTACTTACGTGGCATATCTCAAACACAATACCATGACTTCATATTTACCCATTATCCAAACTTACGCGTGGAACTGCAAACATATGCTGACTGTATTCGAAGTCAGGTAGTAAAAATCTTTTCTTTGCCAATATGGCAGAAAACTCTCTTTACACTGATCATCAAAGAATACCCAGAGAAAAAAACATTTTATTTTGACTTCTGTCAAAATTAATAACCTCAATAGGCAAATGAAGTTCATCTCACCCACTCCTATACCATTGTGAGGTTACATAACAGTGTGAAGATAGCCTATCTCTAAGTAAACAAAGCTGGGAAATCTCCTAAAACACCAAGTCAATAAGCTTGTGGAAGCTACTGAAACTCAAATTGCTTAATGTCATGTAGAAAATTACCTGATCTGTTTCTCCAAGAACAGAACATTCAGTAAGAGGAAAACCCTCAAGTCATTTGACCGTGTCTGGGTATTACAGCAGAGTCAGTAGTGTCAACACTGTACATGTATCTATAGTATGAAATGTATTCAGTTTCCATGGACACAGAATCGGAGAGGAAAGGAAGACTGATATTATAAAATAGAGATGTAAGAGTTCCAAATAAAATTCATTTCCCTCTTCTACTCACTATAGTTCCTATTATGACTAAAATAGCATAAATTATTAGTAATAATGAAATAAATTATTGCCTTGCTATATAATGAGCAAAGCAGGCAATATCTTGCAAATGAGCATTTTTTACAGTTAAGAGAAAGCTCCCTGAACCTTATTCTCTGCTACAGTCACCTTCCATGCTAATTCAGTGGTGTTCCTTCTAGGACATCAGCCTCAGGTCTCTGTTCTGTACCTTAGACATCTTCTCTTTCTGAAAACGCTGGTGCCATGATGTAACCCTTATTTGGAAAACTTCCAAACCGTTTGTCAGTTCTAACCACCTACTGGAGTGTCAACCCCATTTCAAGAACTTACAGATATTTCTTCATGAAGATGTTATCATACAAATAATATCATCTGGAATCCAAGGACTTTACTCGTTTAGAAATCTGTGCCATCCTCAGTTTCATGTTTTATAGCATAATTTTGTCAGTGACTCCAAAATCAAACCTGTATCTATTATCATCAGCTCTATTTACTAAACCCCCATTCTGACTTGATTTCCGTGTGCCTGTAACTGTCATGAATACTCATATTTAATCTTGCATTGTTATCTCTGTTGTGACTTGTGATTATCACTTCAAAGATAATTATATAATTTTTTAAAATCTTAATATGCCCTTTACATATCTGTTTCTGTTAAGTAATTCTTTCCTTAGTACTGTTTTTTAATTTTTTACTACATCCTTAATGTTAAACTAACTATAAATCGTTAGCTTGCTGAAATTCTGTATCACTTAAGATACTCGTCAAAGGAAAGATACCTAGGAAAACTCTTCTTTAGAGATTTGAAGTAATCAGATGGGCTATCTTCTAATATGAGCAGAGTTCAAGTACTTCTATGTCTTTAAAAATGCATAAGAAGGATTTCCAGGAACTAGAAAGTTGAGAGATAATGAAAGAAAGTCCTGGGAGCTGGCCACTGACACTGTTGGGAGGCTAGGATTAAACTGTCCAACATTTCTGTCTCAAGATGGCAAACTTATGGTCTGAATCCAGTTATGAACCAGCAGGCAAACCAGGAATCTTTGAATGACATTTTCCAAGCTCTGAGATATAAGGTAAAATTGAGACAGGTAGAGAGATGCTTTGTTGCCTTCCTCTGGTTTCCTTGTATTGATGAAATTAAACTGGAAGACCTGGCCCAGCCATTTTCTACTTTTCTCTCCCCTGTCATTTTCAGATCAGTCTTTTTTTCCAACTTAATTAGGCAGACTTCCTATTTGCCTAAAATAACATGGTCACTTTTATTCCTAAATCCTTACTTAAATCAATAATTTTTATAACATTTAATGCTGAATAGAAAAGTACTACTTTTCCCTAGAAGTCACAGCAGCTTCCTCCTATCCTAGAAGAAATCATTGCATCTCTATGATCTCATCACATTGTTTCAGCTCAGCCATCAAGCACTTTTAGAAGGCTATCACATATTGCCATTTAACATGCACATGAACATGTATTGATACCTGCCTTCCTTTCTTTCTGTTGTAGTGATTAAAACACCTGAGAAGTGGAAGTTAAGGAAGGGTTCATTTTAGCTCATAGTTCCGTGTGGTAGAACCCATGAAGTCAGTGAAGTCAGTGTTAGAGGAACTTGAGGTACCTGGATTCACAACCAAGAAACAGAGAGATGGATGTGTATACTCAGCTAATTTTCTCCCGGTTTTACAGTTTTGGTTCACAGCCCAGCAAATAGTGCCACCTGTAGTGGAAGACCTTCCCATCTCAATCTAGTAAAGATAATCCTGAAGGCAGATTCAGAGGACTGACCACTGGGATGATTTTAGATTTCCTGAAGTTGACAATTGAGATTAACTGTCATGATATCCAACTAGATTGTAACTTGTTAAAGGCAAGGAAATTTCTACTGAGTTTGGATTTTTCATATTTAATGGTGCAATAGAGGCATTGACAATATCATCGTCTATATAATTAGATTTTAGACCTACTCAACAGTAAGGCAATTACTCCTGATCCTGGAAACCTAGCTAACTACCCAGGGTAAGAGAGATTATGGATCTTAGAGGAGTTACTACTGCCACACATGACATATCTTAAATGGAAAAAGCAAGCCCATTAAAATCAGAATTCTTACAGGGCTGTCCACTACCCCCACTCCTTTTCAACTTAGTTTTCAAAGCAATATGACAAGAGAAGGAAATCAAATACGAATCAGCAAAGAAGAAGTCAGAATATCCCTGCTTGCAGATGATATGCTCTTATAATATGAGCACTAAAAAACTTTCCACCAGAAATCTTGTAGAAATTATCAATGAGTTCTGCAAATTAGCAGGAAGCAAAATCAACTTTTATATATCTACATGCATGTAACAGTAACAACTAAAGAGGGATAAGTCATAAACTTGAGAGGGAACAGAGTGGATGGGAATCTGGGAAGGTTGGAAGGAAGAAAGGGAATAGGGGAAATGATGTAAATTTTTAAAATTAGAAAATATTTAAAGAAAAAAGAAAGAAAACTTACTAATATACACCCCAAAAGGAGTCAACATAAATTAAAAAGCTATTAACTTTTATTTTTTATGTTAACAGTCAGATTTTCTATAAAAAATTATAATAATGTTGTAATTACTATAGTGCAATCAACTCCTCGGTTCCTTTAGCACTGATCTGAAGAAAAAATAATAAAAACAATTTTTTCTCTCCTCTCAAGTTATCTTCTCCTGCTCTTTCATCCAAAGCTAGCACATTGTCTCTTCCAGTGAATCAGTCATTCTTATATTTCATATACTGTAGAAAATGCAACACACAGTCATTGCAAGTGCGCAATGTGCTTCTGAAGGCCTCCTTCATTAAAATTCTCAATCAAATGTTAAGTTCAGTGTTATCAGTATAATTTATATTTTAAGATATATTATTTGGGTCGATTTAGGTACCTGAAGATTTTGGAATCTAGAAATCTAAGACATAAATTTTTGTAATATGTTTATGAATAAAAAATTTTAACCTCTTACCACTAATTCCTGTGAAGGCATGTATATCTCAGCCACTGTAGAGTCTCTTAATTCTGCATCAAAAACAAAGCTATCCTTGGATATTGAAGAGATGATGGAGTCATTATCTTCATTCAGACGTCTTAATACCTTTATACGAGGTCGCGCCTGGCCCTTCAGTATGATATAAAGTCCATCATCAGCAATCACTGAAATAAATAGAAACCAAACAGATAAATACCTGACTAACATGTTTATTATATCTTCTGTACTGCCTACAAATTATTTACAGCCTGCCATACCACAATAACCTCTATGCAACACTCAGGAATTCATAAATAACAAGAATAACAAATGAATGTTTGATTTAGTCTATTTTATTCAATTTGCAGTGTGTTTACTTTTACTAACATATAATTACATCATTAGCCAACTCCCTTTTAAACCATGTCATGGGGAATTGGATTTTAATTTTTTTAAAAATTAGTGCAAAATGACAAGTAATTATGAATGACATAAATGGCTTGCTATGAGGAAAACAGGATTAGGAAAACCTTTAACCTTTGCCTTCTCCCCTCAAATTTGTCATTTGCCTATTTTATATAGTAAGACATCCCTACTGGTAATTTCATTTACATTTATTCGAGACAGATATTGAAGAAACTGAGTAGTTTGCAAAAGCTAATAGAATGTTACAGTACTCAACCCACTCCACCTGAAGTCTCCACAACCTATCTTGCTACCTCATCCCTGAAGTTCCATTGTACACTACAGTCCTGGCAGGCATATTTTACTGTTAGTACTCCAATTAAAAATTACTTCAAGATTTTAAGAGGATATTCTTTGGGATATGGAAAGTTGTGGTGTATTTCTCCATTTCATAAATGTTTATATCACTTTATGAATGGAGGCCATCATTAAAGTGTTATGAAATAATCTATATATTGCTAATGAACTATCTGTAAGCAGAAACGTTCTTAACTGATTTTCAGAGGCAATTGTATGTCTTTATATTTCTCTCTCAAGGTCAATTGTTCACAGTCTCTGCACTTTTTTTCTCTAACTTTAGTATTAACCCTCCCAGGTATTACTCTCTCAATACTATGAAAGAGTAATTTTAATGCTTTTTTTTAAAGTAGACACTTGTTTTGCATGGATGTCTAAGATCAAAATGAATTGCATTTTCAGTAGTACATAATCTGTGTGGTGAGAGAACTGAAGAAAAATTTAGATTAATTACTGTTTTTTGTGACTGATTGTATAGGGAGAAGATAGGAGTGAAGTAAATCAGAAGACATAAAAACATGTCTATGTGCAGATTTTGGAAAAAATTAAAAAAGCATTGCTTAGGTCACATGAAAAATGATAGAAAGATATGTCCAGTGTGAATTCTGATGCAGGGCTGCTATTTGCTTTCTCAGTGTAAATTATCTTATTTTCCTTGGCCAAGAAAGCTATAATTTTATTACATGCAGTACAGGCAATGTTAAAAATACCACTTCCCACATGCTCTTAACATGTGTGTTTACACAATGCCATCTGGTTAGTAAAATATCATGTGACTTTGCTTCCAAGTATTCACATCAAATCTTCATGCTGATAAGAACCAGGATATGATACTGGAACCAAGACAAATTTCTTGAAACTAAAATGAAAAGGTAGGACACCTGGACAATTCTGATGTCTTCCAATTTTTCCCCTGATGTCTTATTATATAAACTCTGTAAGCCCTCAATCTGTTTGGACAATGCCTTTTTATTCTCCATTTTAGAAGCTGAACCCTGTGTCTGTATGATACTGCTGAAATTTTCCTTGGCTTTAGCATGATTGGTACCAATAAACATAGTTACATTGTCTTTGGGAATATAACTGATATTGCAGCAGCTCTATTTAAAGAAGATTATTTTATAAAAGGAGTAACTATACATATCTCTCAGAAATGCAACATCCAAATACAATGCTATTTGGTTTACAAGATCATATTTAAATAAGCCAGATAGATAAAAGAAACATCATGTGATTACATGTGTATCTCTACCTTAAAGGTTCACATCATGATAAAAGCTATTTCACAGTAATGTATCTTATAATGCATGGAACATCAACAACAACCAGAGTACATGTGCTAATTAGAACACGACTGTCACACTAGAAATTGCAACCGTAAGCAGCATGCTCCAAATAAATTGGGTCATCATGGAGATGAATATAACTTCACTGATCTCAAAATACATTCCTTGACCTGCAGGCTTTGCCCAAGGATGCTAACTTTTGTATGATATCCCTTTTTATATGAACCTGTGCTTATAATAAGTCCTTGAAAGAGACAAACAAATTGGAAGATTCACAGAACCATAGGAAAATATTTAGTTCAGAACATATGTCATAACCTTTTGTTATTTGAAGTATGTGTGTATTTGAAATAACAAAAGGGATTATAGTTTTTATATTAAGATTATTTTTCAATATTAAGACTTTAATATGAGCGAAAAACTATTAAAAGCACATGAGTGCCCACTTGTGACACCAAATGATTTTTAACATCTTAAGTTACAGTTAACCTTTTAAGTGTATTGTTATATTATAGGCAGGTTGAAATATATTGTATGTGATAACCATTTTTATATTGATCTTTTGGATTAGGTAGCATGATTGCCTGGTCTGTGTTGTTTTTACTCTTTTGGCTTTGGGGAGAGCCCACCACTCAGTTTTCACATAAATCACACAAGGAGGTTTATTGTTAGTTATGAATGCCTGGCCTTAGGTTGGCTTGTTTCTTGCCAACTGTCCTTAAATTATCCCATCTAACTTTTGCCTGTCGGCTTTTATCTTTTCCTTCTGTAAATTTTAATTTCACTCTTACTCTGGGTGCCTAAGTGTCAGGGTGTCTGGCCCCTAATGTTTTCCTCTCCGCGTTATCCCCTTTTTTTCTAGTTTCTCCTTCTGTTTATACTCTTTGCTTTCCAGTCCCACTTACCCTTGCTCCTGCCTCGCTATTGGCTGTTCAGCTCATTATTAGATCATCAGTTATTTTAGAAAGTAAAATAATCACATCTTTACAGAGTTAAAGAAATACAGCATAAACAAGTCACATACCTTAAACTTATATTCTATCACACCAGCTCTAATTTTATAAATCTTGAAACTAAAGGCAATGACAAATTGAACACTGTCTCTAAGTCTAGAACTCCATGATTGATACAGCCACTTTTCAACATAGCCAACCTCTAGATTCCCATCTTGATTTGTGTACTCTATGTAGCTATGCCTCCAGATACATAGAGGATAGATAGGGGGAGAGAGAGAGAGAAAGACAGACAGAGATAGAGAGAGAGATGATAGAATAATAAATGGATGAGAGATAGACATACAGAGAATATGTATATATGCATATGTATGTATAACCATTTTATATATAAATATATACACACTCATTAATGATGTTACTTAAGATACAATAAAACCAAACTAAAACTGTAATGTAGATATATACTATGTTTCATTTTAAGTTTTAAAGCATGTTTTCAAAAGGCTTATTTATAAAGTCAAATAGCAAACATCAACAGACATACGTCTATGAGCTCCTGTTAATGATATATTATATAATGTATGAAGGCCTTAAAGACATTTGGTAGTATAATTCAGTATTCACTAAGTGATAGCATGTAATTTAAATGAACCATATCAAAAACCCTTCCTCTGGTATCAACCATCCCATAATGAATTAAATATTCCAAACAGTTGTGCATGAATACGGTCATACTGTCCACTGAATAATGCTCTTTTGACCTATAAATTTAAATATCATCTACGGATCAAGAAAGACTTTCCTCATCCTAGTGAGCTTTATTCCCAGTAATTATTGCCTACCATAGGCAAGTTTCTACACATCAATTGTGTCATGGAATACTTCATACTCACATTCTACCTATATATTCCACATTCCTCAAAGATGGGTTTATGGTTCTACTGTAATATGTCCAGACCCAAGCATCCATCCTGGATTATTTGGGGGTATTTAGAAGGCCTTTGTTGAATGGATGAAGGCTTAGTCATATGTTGGTAAAAGGCAGAACATTTAAATGATCTGAGGAGAAACCAGAATGTTCATTGTTTCATGTACAAAGATAAAAATCTATTATTTCCCTTAGAATTTTTATCTGACTTTGAAGGTCTAGTTTCTTTCCGTTTGATTGTGCATGAGCTCAGTAAAAAAAATTCAATGTGTGTATATGTGTGTGTGTTTATAAAAACAATTTTAAATTAAGAATGAGGCCTTATTAGCATAGCTACATAATGCTGTAACAGTCATTAATAATCAAGATACAAAAATAATAAAAATCAAGAAATATGAAAAAATCCAGATCGCTGATTTTTGTTTTTGATTTTAGATATGTCATAAAAATAATTCAAATGCAAGCAAAAATAACAATTTTTTAGTAGTGGCAGTGGGGGAGAAATCCACTAGTTAGTAACCTGACTTCAAAATATGCTTTAGAAAGGAGATTTAATGACGTTACCATGCATGGGTAACAACACTACTCCCAGAGAGGTCCCAGAGGCACCCTAAATAACACTGGCTGTTGTTACTGCTCTTGATTACATCACTCTTAAAAATAAAATTAGTAAGACCCTTTTACTGAATATACCACACACTCTGACTATAAAATGAAGAAAATTCTATCTCTAGCTGGCCAGGAAGCTTTCTCCCTGCTGATAAGCACTCGTTGTGACTAATACAGTAATGTAAGTTGCTGGTAAAGAAGATCAATGGTCTAACTTACTTGATTCTGAATGGTAAGATACAGACAAACCAGGCAAAGTATACCCAGTGATGCAACAGGCTGTTCTCAGGTAACTTTCTCAACGAACCTGAGTCACATCACACAAGAGGAAATTCATGCCTAGTCCTGTATACCTATTTATGAGTCTGTACTGAGGACATCATGGGTCCTAAGGTAAAAGCTACCATTGTTATTTTGCTTCATGACCATGTTGTTCCATTGCCTCATAAATATTTACATCTGTATCCATAGATTACTGATTCTCTCAGCCTTGGTCAGAGAATCTTCTTTTTGTAGTTGACAGCTATTAGCTAACATAGACTCTTACCTGGTCAAAGTGCAGAGAATGTGTGACTATGAGCACTTAGCCCTAAGTGGAAATATTTTTATCAAGCCTACCACATCCCTGCCAAGGTTCAGAGAAC